CATACCCTTGCCAAGTTGCCAAAAAATATGCTCTTCTGCCCGAACCCGAATCCGCAACAACCGAGTCCAAGTAGAAGAACCCACCGTTCTTTGCACCTCCATCGGATGATAAGACTTAATATATTTAAGATGCATATAAGATGCCCAAATAGATTCATTGAGACGAAGCTTCCACCATAACTTCATGGCAAAAGAATCCGCTACGTCAGTAAGTGAACGAAACCCGAGTCCGCCCTCCTCCACCGGATAACAGAGTGATTCCCAAGACTTCCAATGAATCCGACGATCAGCCCCTTTGTCCCACAGGAAACGATTGAACAGCCTGCCCATGGTCTTAAAAACAACCTTCGGAGGAACAATCACTTGTAAAAGAAAGATCGGAATCGAACTTAGCACATGCTTGATCAATAAAATCTTCCCCCAGAAAGACTTCTCTGCTTTTGTGCTGGAACCTGTTATCCATCCGCCCACTTCCCTTCTCGTGTTAACACACTCATGAATGAAATATCACATATTTATACTAACCCGTTACTACTACTTGAACCTTACTACCCGAGCTATAATACAACCAGATAGCCTAGGACGATCAATCGATCGGCTAATCCGCTCAAGCAGGAGAATATAATAGGATAATTGGAAAACTCTAAGGCCTCAAGAGAAGCTCTTTCTTCTTTTTACTTAGGAGCACCCTTTTGCTAAGCTGGTAAAACCATGTTGGTTGATACTGGCACACCAGAAGAAGACTAACTCCTCGAGGTAGGTAAGCGACTGGAAGAGTCTTTTGAAGGCTTTCAGCAGAAGATCTGCTAAACAAGTATGTATGACCATCAGAATCAATGTCTGGATGTTCCCGAAGGGCAAAGCTATAGCGCTTTTCCAGCTAGTCGTTCCAACAAGAATGCTTAAGATAACGAACCTTAACCATGTAAGTAAGCCCAAAATCCAGACTTTCCTAAAAGTCAGTGGCACGTTCCAGGATATCCTCGTAGAAGGGAATCTGGCTTGCTGCCAAAGGGGTTGGATGCGCTTCTGTCTTGAAAGGGAGTTCACCGAAGGTGAGAAAAAGGTAGCTCTTTTCTATCTTATTAGTAGCGGTCTTTGCTGCTTGACTTCTTGACTTAGAGCTTGAAGGGGTCAAAATGAATAGGAATCTAACTATAGATATACACATAGATAAGAGTGACTCTTCTACTTTAGTTTTACAGAGATCATAGGAAATATGGAAGAATAGGGCCCTCATGGAGCTTCCCTTTCTTCCCCTAGCTATGGGAAAGTCTTGGATGAATTGCTTAATTCAGTCTGAACGTGTCCCTGACCCAAATGCAAGTCAAGATCCAGACCACTTTCATCAGCACGAGGAATCGCTGTTCCATACTAAGGAGGATTTCCGTCAGAGTGTCTACTTTTGACTTCAGGACCCTGAGCTGATAGTCCTTTCGCAGAAGTGATGCATCAATGTGAGCGATATGCAAAACGACTTCTTCATAGAATGGTTTGGTTTCTGAAGGACCCTCCTAATCTCCTCGGGGAAGTTTTCTTGGAGGGTGACTGACTAATGCCCTTTCTTTCTGGACATAGTAATTCATCCAAAGAATCTATGTATTCTTCCAAGGCGGATTTCTTATGCTTTAGTTGAGCAGGTTCAACAGGAACGGATTTTCTACCCCTTCGTTTGCGCATCTGAGGCTTGGGAAGTGGAAGAACCTGATCAAATGTACCGTCCATCGGTATTAACCTCAAGACAGACATACACCAATCATGCGCAGGACGTAAGAGAGCTTGCTTAACAGCATTTGGGATTGGTCATTCGACCCAGAAAGACTAACAATCAAACCAGCAAAAAAACCTAAAAAGAAAAAAACAACATAAGTCTAATCGCAGAAATGGAATGAATACACATATAGATGAATAAGTTTCTAACTCTTTCTTCGATCTATTTCGATATATATCTTCGATATAATCAATAAATAAGATGAAAAAAGAAGGAGAAATGGACCAGTATTCATTATAGCAGTTCCTTATTCTCTGATTGAGTGGGATGCTTATTCGGTGTTAGTACGGTGGATGAATCGAATTTCATGTGTGAAGCATAGTGACACGGATCCCTTTGATCATAAGCAGCAATCCCTTGCCTCCTGGTCTTTCCCTTGCTTTCGGGCGAAGGGAACGTTCTTTTCAGTGAAACATTTCCTTTCGTTGGCCATAATTCTTCGCTATAACCCATGTTTCATCACATGAACGATAGCTTCTGTGGTGTAGTGCGCTAGGTTGGCTGCAGCAGGCTTGGCTTGGTAGGCAGGTAAGGGGGAGAAATAATGCTTGGGGATAGCCCGCGAATACTCATGCTGTGTATAACCCGCGACGAAGACTCCTTAGTTAGGCTTCCCCCCGACCGGAAGAGCAGCAAGCCAAACATCGTACCCTTCGGAGGGACCATGTCATGTCAAATTAATAGCTAAGTTGTTGACCATCTATCTGCCCTAAAACCAAGAGCTTGGAAAACGGGTGCCAGCAAGCAGTTCAGTCTCTACTTCTTTTTATTTTATTAGATTGGTTCAGTTCGGGGGAAAGTTTTTGGGTGAACGACTCGTATGTTGATGTTAGAGAGTTATTGGCTTGAAAAAGAAAGAAGGAAAGGGCTGTAGCGCCTATTCAACCATGATAGGATATTGATCTAGTTTACTAAGTCAGACATTCAAATCAAGGAAAGCGAATGAATGAGTTGTTCATTCCTTCTTTGAATCAGTTCGTTCGGGAGGGTGTGTTAGTGCCAGTACGGGGTGGGGTACTGGTTCTCATTTCCTGGTTTGGAATAAAGTTATACACCTACCAAATATGCCTTAACTATGGAATTCCTTTAGTAATTATTCTCGTAGTGGAAAGCGTGGGAAGTAAACAAACCATGGGAAGCAACCTAGTTTTTCTAGTTTTATTGATAACCTGCCCGCGAGGTAAGATTTTCTTTCTAGCCTGGAAGGGAATATATAATCGTGCAAAGCTTTTTATCGACCTAGATTCTTTACTTTACTCCCGGGGTCAATCAGTCAATCGGTAGTCCTCCAATTGCTTATCGAAAGCCCGTTTTTAATAAATAGATTATGCCACTCGTATTGCCCCGGATTGACAAAAGAGACTTTGATTTGAGACAACAAAGACAGTGGACTCTGAAACCAATAATTTCGCTGGATCTAAGAAGAACGTAGCACAGAAAACCGGACTTACCAAGGACTGCGCCTGGAATCTCCTCAAGTAGGTAGGATTCGAACCTACGACCAGTCAGTTAACAACCGACCGCTCTACCACTGAGCGCTACTGACCTTAGGCCCAACCATGTTTTAAATCCCCATTTCAGGCGGTAGAGGATTACCTCATGTTTTCGGGACAGAGGAGCAACCCATAGATAGGTTTATCTATGATAAGGTAGAAATTCGTAAAGCAATTGTAGCAGCTCCGGAATCTATGAATAAAGCAAAAAAAGGGGACATGCTTATTTCATCTTTACTGAGATTTCATGCGTGGTGCTGGGGTCCAACTTCTTTCTTGTATTGGACTTGCCGACATTATCCGAAACGTAAGTGAGTCGGAATCAAGCCCTTGTCGTTCTGTCCATTCGAAAACGATGCAATAGCTTTAAATCGATCAGGTAAATAAGGAACGAGAAGCAAAAGGAGTAATGGAGGCCCCCGCGGAAAGTAGAAAGGGAGAGTGGAATGAACGAACATTAGCACTTACTTCCTTATCCTCGACCTTGCCACTCCTTGCGGAGTTGCATCTCCGTACCGCCATCCTGCCCTTTCGCTTTCTAAAATCGGAGAGACGACCCTTAAGCCCCTTCGATTACCTTCTTCCTTTTTTTGGTTGGGAACTGTACTCCCTAATGATGTCTTTCAGGACCTTTGGGTTATCCCGGATTGAATCCCTCCATTCCCGGAGGGTTGCCGCATCCGTCTCCCCGGAGAGTTCCAACTCCCGAGACATAATCCACTCCGCGGTGCCGGAGTCTGCCTCCTGCATTTCCGGGAATAACACAGATAGCCGCACCCCGTGCGCCTTTCTCGACGCTTCTTGAAGCTGTTGGACAATCAAAGTCTTCACTTCAAGAAAAAGTTCCGCCCGCTCTTCTTGAGGGGGATCGGGGTGGGCAACTTCAGGCGGTGCTGGCGCCTCTTGAGCCTCTAAAGCATCAAAGAGGTCGTCTTGGGTCACTTCGTCCGTACTACCAAAGGGCAGGAGGATCCCAAAATGACCAGAAGGTCCCGGTGGGGTACTGGACCCCCCAGACATTCCTCCCGAAGCAGATGGATAGAATTGAGAAATGGCACGACTAAGGTCGTCCATAAATAGATACCCGAGTGCAAAGGCGAACTTTGACAGAACAAAAACACAAAAGACTTGAGCAATTATAAAGAAATACATCCTTACTCTTTTGGGCACTCTTGGAAGAAGTGGAAGAGAATGGAAAAAATTTAGGATTTGGATATTAATCAAAACAACCCGAATGAACAATCTTGCGCATAGAGAATGAAGAACCATCATATTTGATTCTATTTGTCTTTCGCTCCTTGTCTGCGGAGTGGCATACCGGAAAAAAAAGGAAGCCCTTCTTCGCCGATAACAAAAGCCTCTTTCTTAGGGGCCTTTCTAGGTCGATCATAGGTTCGACTTGCATGTGTTAAGCATACCTTACTTAGTATTAAATCTCAATCACAGACAGAGCATTTCCGATCTTAGGCGAACGAGGGTTACCGGCTCTGCGACCTCGCAAGGCACTATTGTAGAGCTCTTTGGGCTTGCCGCTTTCTCAATCGAAAATGGAAACTGTCAAGATTTTCCTACCGAACGATTCCATCTATCACTTACGTCATTTCTCAAGGTCAGAAATCATCAATTTTGAATTGTTGCATTCAGTCATCGTTCCGTCATCCAACATGCTTCTATCTAAGTGATTTCATACCTTCCTACTTCCCTCCGTCACCCTTCCTCTTTTCGCTCCTCTCCTTTCAGTCGAGCTGCTTCGCTCCTGAATTGGTAATTCCTACCACTTGTATCAAGGAGTGTTCAAGCGGCATTGACGGCACAATAGAAATGGCATTTCTAGGATTATCGTAAAGGAACTGACCCACGTAAGGCTGATGGTGCACCACAGGGATTCCCCAGGAGGAGAGATAAGGCCTGGGGCCGATTCCACTCAAGAGCAGAAGCTGTGGGCTACCAATAGCTCCAGCACAGAGCAAAACTTCGCCCATGTCACGCAACATTGCATGGTGGAAACCACCGGTCTGGTCTCTGAAAACGACCCCAATTGCTGATTGTATGGGCGCAGGAACAGTAGTCATTGAAGAAGCGAAAAGAACCCTCTCCACACTGGCATACACAGCCACCTTGATGTTGGAAGGCTTGGCATAGCTAAGAAGATCAGCAGCGCTGTGTCTCCTCCCAGCGCTATCAAAAGTGGAACCCCCAATCTTGGTGCCCACCACCCTGAGATCCCAGCTGATCCCTGAATCCCTGAAGAAATCTTGGTCGGCTCTGCTGTAGAAACCAGCATTGATGGCGCTGCTGCCTCCAAGAACTCGGCCTCTGGCGTTGGAAACACCATCTTCAGAGACAAAAGCTACTCGCAGGGTCACACAAGACAGGTATAGAGCTGCGCACCATAGGGGGTTCAAACAAAGGACTGTACACAAGAGAAAAAAGAAAAGCCTTCATCTCCGTCTCAATCTCACTAGGCGGAACCAAAGCAGTTCCATCTCGAAATGGAGATAGACGGTTAAGGGTAGGAGAAGTGCTCATATAGAAATGCCCAGCAGCATCACGCCACCCATAGTCGAAAAAGAAGTGACTCTTAGCTCAATGCTAAGTTGCGTCTCTGTTAAGATGCATGGGTAATGAATGAAAGCACTCAAGATCTAGGAATGAAAAAACAGGCGCAATCTAATAACCACGTAGAGACTCTCTTTCGAAAGTGAGAGCACCACCGGCTTGTTTGAAGAAGGAAAGATCACTCCTAAATGCAGCCGTTCTCTTATTATACGATATCACCAGAGGCACCTTGGTACTTCCATCCGCCAATCAAGGCTAGTGGAGCGAAGGGAGCCAAAAAAGGTGAGCGCCCCTACGCGAGCCTTATTGAAAAGGCCTCTTACTATAGAAAGGGTGTTAGCGCTTTACTAATAAGATAGAAAGGGGCAAGCCAAAACCTACTCCTAACAAATTGTTGAGTTCGGCTTTCAGGGCTACCTACTTGAGGGCTTATGTAATATTATATAAAGAAGAGCCCTCTTAGGGCCTTTTTGTTTAAGGGCTGCTCGCCTTTTGAATAGAAGGAAGTGGGAGAACGGAGGTTATTTCGGTAAACCGATGCATGAGCTGAGGCTCCCATGTCCCGCCGACCCTCCGAAAAAGTCAGCTCATAGGGAGTCAGAAGCAAGCAGAGTCAAAGGCGGGTCAAACTCACATAAGCAGAGGGGGAGATACATTCATGAAAAGAGAGAAGCCGTGCCGCGGGGGACTGACCCACTATCAATAGATCTTACTTACGGGTAAGAGTAGGAACATCTATTAGTCCGTATCGTGGGTCTACTTGTTACAAAAGGCGAACATCCCCATTCCAAAACATTCCATTCACATAGGTCCTCAGGCAGACATCGAAAAGGGGACGAAAAGAGTCTATTTACCCTTACAATATTCCGGAATGTATCATGGCTCTATCTATTCATTAAAAAAAAAAAAGAGTTCTGCATCTCTCCGGGGCTGGGGGAACAAATAGGCGTGGGGAAGAGGGAGAGGGGGGGCTACGAACCCTCTCCCCTTGTTGTTCCCGGACCACCCATCCCTTCGCCCGGCCAGGTGAGATCAGATTTCTCGAACGAAGTGAAGTGATAGGAAGAGAATACTGCTGGCGGGATATCTCTATTCATTAAACCCCCGTTGTATAGTAAGGGGAAAACTCAAGTGCACTCCTGCGCACCAGCTGAAGAAAAGAGCTTTGGAAGCCTTACCTTATTATTATTAAAAGGGGAAAGGACGTTAAGCACCTATCTTACTAATAAGAAGAAAGAGGCAAGCCAAAACCTACTCCTAACAAATTGCTGGATCGAAGTAGTAAATTATCCATCCACCCGCCAGCAGCAGAGGGGGTTCGATTCCCGTTATACGCGATGTGGCGAAAAAGACTGATTCAACGAGATATGACGTGCCCGCATTAAGATTTAAAACTTGTCGTCTACTTTCAGGAAATGTTTGGAACAGAGAACTTACAATAATACAACGCCGCATTCTCCGAAAATTGAGGAACAAGAAGAGATCTATTAAGAGAAAGATTTATTCGAGAGAAAATCTTAACAGTTACATCCAATCACAAACTACACGCAAGTTGTCCCTTTTTCATGGAGATTTACCCATCACAGAGATGCACAGAGGAACAGAACGAACTTCATATATCCCTTTTCTACTTAATCCAGAAACAAGATCGGACGTTATTCCGGTTCGTCTCCATTTTCGTGAAACTATTCCTCAAGCAAGGCAGCCGATAAGTCATCGAAGGGTTTGTGTGAATAATGGAATGGTAAGCATTACTCATTTTAAAGTTTCCCACGGTGATATAATATCTTTTCAAGAAAATGATGCGAGAACCCGCGGTGAAGAAATAAGGAGATCTTTCTATATCGAAATATCATCAATTGAAAAAAGAAAAGGAAAATTCCTGTATCACCCGATAAGAATGTGGAGAAGAACAAAAACAGAATGGTTCCGCCTACTCAAAACTAAGAGGGGATGCCGCCTACTACTAAAATCCCGGTTTTTGCAACAGTTGCGTTCTTCTATGCAAGAAGAAGGCTTAGAAAGAACAAAGAAGTTTGGATCCGAAAAAGTATGCTTAGGCAGTTCTTTCGCTGAGCACAACAGAATGAAGAGAAAAATAAAAAGGAAGAGAAAAATAAAAAGGATCGAACTACCTACTCATTATTCGGAGGTGAATCATAGAACACCAAAAGCTGTGGTATCTTATGGACCTAACATAGGTCACATCCCTCACGACATAAGATTGAAAGATCCAAACCTTCTTCTTCGGAGCGGAAACGGACGTGGCCAAAACATATAAAGATCGGCGTAGTCCCTCACAGGGACATATCTATCCGGATAGAGGATAGTCTAAATCGATTCATAGATAGATCTCTCTCCATATAGATAGGTATCTCCGTGGATAGAGATAAAGATAGGGATCCATCTAGATCTTGATTCACTATTTCCATTTTTTTTCGTGATTCTAATTGATTGCCTTTTTTTGACGACAAGTTTTAAATCTGCAAGGAAATTTGGATTTCAATTATTACTTGCTGGGTCGGAGCGTAGACGAGCGAGCAGAGCCCAGGAAAGAGGGAAGCCCGTCATAGAGCAGTCGACTAGAAGTAGAAGACTGCTGGCCTGAGAGAAGGCGGCCTCTCTCGGGAAACATGGCCCAATTTCTCTTCTTTCTTTTTTTGATTTCAGCTTTCTTTATTTTTTCAGGGGCCCAGAACGCTAAAAGGTGGGTGGGGGAGAAGGAAGCCGAACCTCTAATCGACCTGGGCACATAAAAAATTCTCGGCGTCGAGAGAGATTTGAGATTCCGTAAGTAACTCAGTGAGTGCAAGGGCTTGGCTTGGAAGAAGAAAATGAAATACGAACAACCGCGCTGGTCGTAATAGATCGACTTTCATGCTAGTTCTTGCTCCAGCATGAAAGTTCCATTTCAGGGAAGGACGACGTACTATGATACTTTCTGTTTTGTCGAGCCCTGCTTTGGTCTCTGGTTTGATGGTTGTACGTGCTAAAAATCCGGTACATTCCGTTTTGTTTCCCATCTCAGTCTTTCGCAACACTTCAGGTTTACTTCTTTTGTTAGGTCTCGACTTCTTCGCTATGATCTTCCCAGTAGTTCATATAGGAGCTATAGCCGTTTCATTCCTATTCGTTGTTATGATGTTCCATATTCAAATAGCGGAAATTCACGAAGAAGTCTTGCGCTATTTACCAGTGAGTGGTATTATTGGACTGATCTTTTGGTGGGAAATGTTCTTCATTTTAGATAATGAAAGCATTCCATTACTACCAACCCAAAGAAATACGACCTCTCTGAGATATACGGTTTATGCCGGAAAGGTACGAAGTTGGACTAATTTGGAAACATTGGGCAATTTACTTTATACCTACTATTCCGTCTGGTTTTTGGTTCCTAGTCTTATTTTATTAGTAGCCATGATTGGGGCTATAGTACTGACTATGCATCGGACTACTAAGGTCAAAAGACAGGATGTATTCCGACGAAATGCTATTGATTCTAGGAGGACTATAATGAGGAGGACGACAGACCCCTCACGATCGACTAAAAGGAAAGTCGCACGGAGATATTGGTTCAAATCCAATTCGTGAGAAGGAGGGCAATGAAGCAAGTCTCAAAATCTTACTTCTTTGTTTCATTTGAAAGAGTTTCAAAGGCCTTCTTTCGTGGTGTGGTTTGGTTAGGCATGGTTCGTCATTGCAAACTCTAAAGTCGTTCACAGCCAGGCCAGTCGATGGCGGTATGTCGGTGGGGGCGCATGTCCGGGGCCGATCCTTCAATAATGAATGTCTCTTTCCGTTTGTACGGCGGTTTCAGGAGCGGGCAAGAACGGGATTCTTAGTATGCCGTCTTTCTCTTCTTTCTTCTTCGCAACTAGCGGGTGTGTTGTCAATCGAGCTTTGTCCAATGTTCTCTTGCGGCAGAGTCTATATACCTTTTGCTTTAAGCAAAGGACTTTCGCGCCACGGCGTAGAGTGCCATCAGTAGTAGGCCGAAAGAAAATCGCTATTGAGAGTGGTTTACGGGAGAAAGAGTCATTCAAAGGGTAAAAGAGAGAGAGCGACCCAAGAGCGAATGAACCACCTTACCCTTTTTTTTTCTGGGGAATGTTAGATAGTTAGAAATTCATCGGTGAAAGAAGAATCTGTGGAAAGGGAGAATCTTAGTTCTCTTTGAATCTTTGTAGTAGTCGGAGAATATATCAGGTTCTTAGACTTTCTAAGATTTTGATTGGTTTTAGTCATTTCCGGAGTTGATAAGAGAGTAGCTAATGCTTCCCTAAGGGTATAAACAATCTTTCTTGCAGAACCTCGTAAACACCTCGTAAACTCGCTTCCTACTGACGTAACCGGGTTAACAGAATCGACGTCTTTCCCTTGTAAGCGACCAGAAGAATAAGATAATCAAGCCCCTTCTTTAGAAACGTCACGTCCTACAGCCTATGCAAGAGGTGAGGCAAACGAAGTTTAGCGTACTTTTCCCCGCAATAGCAACGTCAACATCTGCTGGTTATGCCTATGCTCCTTCAGCAGTCTCACTCTTCTCTTTAGAGTGGGGTGGGGACCCATACTTCACTTCTGGAATGGGCAAATAGAATGAGCATCGAAGGCTCACTCTTTTCATTTTTTATATAACGTCAACACAAAGTTCTAACCAGACCCTCCAGTCCTTTGGACTGACTAGACTGAGAAGAAAGACATCCCCGGCCCTGGAATGATTCATGTATTGAAATGAAAGGGCTACCGAAGAGGCTAGTTGACTCACTATAGCGTCAGTCTCAATCTGGTAACCAACCAAAGCGCATGCATGACTATGGATGCAATTTATGCAAGCATTCTCACTCACAAGCCCAAAAACAGATGGACAAGATGAGCGAGTTATACAGACATTATAGGATATGCTAATAGCTTGTTTAATGGTTTTCCAGGTAGTTGGGATGCTTACCTACCACTTGCAGAGTTTGCCTACAATAATAGCTTTTAGGCCAGTATTGGTTTTAAC